GAGACCTCAGTGCTGAGGAGCAGAGTGACTTGTGACCAGTATCAGAGGATCACTGACGCAGAAGATGGTCCAGATGTGGAGTCACAGGTACACAGGCACATTTTGGGGTTCTTGGCAGGCAGGGACCAGGCTGGCCATCAGGGTACATCTGGAGTGGAGGTTTGTCATTTGGGCTGCAGGGCACACAAGGAGCCAGTCAGGATGGGACAAGAGAGCCAGGCAGAGCAAAGGCAGCAGAGAAGGCCACCACATAGTTTGCCATGGGTCTGCCCACACTCCATACACCTGTGGAGATTTTTGGGAAGTTGCAGGTTTGAGCCTCAGTGCTGGTGTTCTGAAAGGGAAGAAATAGAGAAACAAGTGCTTAGCTGTCTTAGCATCAAAGCTCAGGGCACAAAGTATGAAGGTAATGGGATTTTTATGCATTTCTGACTGTGCTCTGAATCCTGCAGTCAGACACCTGGGATGGGTTCATCCCCAAATCAAAGGATAGTCTGGATTGAAGGGATCTTAAAGACCATCTCCTTCCAGCCCCCTGACATGTCCCTCCCAAGCTCTCCTGTAGCCTCTTCCAACCCAAATCATCCTGTGATTCTATGAGATCCTATCCAGTTACATTAAATCCTGCAGGATGGTGTCATTCCTTGTCTTTTTATCTACTGATTTTTTTGTGTGCGTGAGCATTTATCTTATTTTAAGAAGAGGCAAAGTAGAGCCCAAGATGTTAACAGATCCAAGCACTGCCAGAAGGTAAAGAAAATGATGGCAAGATTGAGTGATGAGCAAGAAGTTCTGTCATGCCCCTGCTCAAACAAAATTGATTACAAGAGCACATGACAATGTAAGAGTAGTAAAACTGCTATAATCACAGATTTCCTTTCTGAACAGACCTGTGATACAGAAGGAGGAACCCCCCCAGCTGGTTCTTGGAGGGAGGTAGAATGCAAAGGGCTTTTGAGCTTGGTTTTCCTTCAGAACTTTTCCTGCTCTGTCTTGTTTTTGACCCCTCCAACCAATGGCAGCTGCTCAGCACATCATCCCAGGCTGCTTAGCCTTAACCTTTTATGCATTTCCACCTGCCAAATGCTGCTAAATCCATACCTTTCTCTAGCAGTGTATATCTACCTGTATCTACAGATGTGGGTTTTTAATGTGTGACTAATTCTTCTTCTTATTGTCTAGTTCACAGTTCTGCACTGGTTATTGGCTTTGATTTAATGATGCTTTTAGGAAATCTCATAATCTATCCTAAAGCAATCACATTCTGGTTGAGTTGGAGAGTTCCCAAAGAGATAAGTCACCTAATGCAGAGAGGAAATAAAACTAAAATACAGGGTCATAACTAGAAGAAAAAAAACCCAACTATTTTCTCTTAACTGCATTAGTTTCTGAGGAAGAATTTATTCTGGTGTCAGAGAGCTTGGCCTTACATCCACTTGTAAAGATGCTCTGCAGAAGAGCCAAGCATAAAGATGCAGTGACAAAGTAAAGTAGTAATTAGATACCATAGAATTTAGGGATTGGAATGGACCTTGCAAATCATCCAGCCCCAACCCCCTGCCCTGGGCAGGGACACCTCCCACCAGAGCAGGTTGCTCAAGGCTTTAGCCAACCTGGCTGTGAACACTGCCAGGGTTGGGGCAGCCACAGCCTCCCTGGGCAACCTGGGACACTGTCTCACCACCCTCACAGGGAAAAACCTTTTTCTCACATCCAACCTAGACTTCTCCTCCTTCAGTTTGAACCCATTACCCCTTGTCCTATCACTGCAGTTCCTAACACAGAGTCCCTCTCCAGCTCCTTGTAGGCCCTTCAGAGATTGAAAAGTTGCACTGAGGTCTCCACACAACCTTCTCTTCTCCAGGCTGAACAGCCCCAACTCCCTCAGCCTGTCCTCATAGGGGAGATGCTCCAGTGCTCTGAGCAACTTCATGGCCTCCTCTGGACTTGCTCCAACAGTTCCATGCCCTTCTTATGTTGAAGGCACCAGAACTGTGTGCAGTATTCCAGGTGGGTCTCACCAGAGCAGAGTAGAGGGGAAGAATCACCTCTTTTGACCTGCTAAACTACTCTCCTCACTATGTTCTACTTGCACTATCTCATGGGTTTGTCAGTACAAAAAAATCCACAGAAAACCCCATTCAAACAGGACAAAGATGCTATTTCTTACCTTGTTTGGGTTTTTTTGGCATTAATTTTGACTTGATTCTAGTTTCTTTCAAAACATTTGTTGGCTTCAACCTGACAGAGAGGAGGTTTAGATGAGGGTGGTGAGGCACTGGAACAAGGAAATGACTAGTGGAAGGTGTCCCTGACCATGGCAGGGGGTGGAACTGGGTGATCTTAGGCCCTTCCCACCCAATCCATCCTGTGACTATGACCAGAGCGCTTGAAGTTAAGCTTTCTCTTAAATATTGAATCAGAGCTCTTATTCTTAAAGACATAATTGCTTTTCCTTGCTTTTATGTATTTAGTCTGAAGCTGCTGATTCTTCAGAGAGTGCACAATAAAGCAGGGAAAGATTTTATCTATTCCATAGAATAATTGGTTTAAATCACATCTAACTTACTTGATATTTTAACTCACATTCAGTTAACTCAGCTAATCATCAATCAGAGATTACACACTAGAAATGAGACTCCAAACATTGAAAAAACTACAGATACCATCTTTTACAAAACATCTATATCCTTATTCAATACACCTTCAATGGAAAGAACCAATAAAAGGTCCAGGAGTTCCTATTTTGGACTGGGAGCCCAGGGGGAGTTCACCCGGTGAAGGAGAAACTCAGCACTTGAAAGAGATGGAGATCCAGGTTTGGGATTGGGGTTTTTTTTCCCTATCACCAGATATAGGTAGCAAGTACAAAATGCAACATACTCATCAAAAAGTGAACTACATTTTAAATCCAAAGATTAGCAGATTTCCAACCAGTTGTGTTCCTCTCCCCTTTGGCAGAGGCTGGTAGAGACTGTCCAAGAAACACCACGCACATTCCCAAATAGGAGCTCTCCACATGGCCCATCTTTTCCATTCTATCCCGTTTCCAGGAAGCTGCAGTGTGACTGACAAGCTGTTGGATCTCACAACATGTTCAACTAAATGGAAAAAAGCGCAATCCCGGAGGAGAGATGGAATCTCACCTGCTTCAATGGAATGTTTTAATTTTTTTCCTTCCTTCATCTTTGTTGCTGTCTCACTAATAAATAATTTCATAGAATCATAGAATCACCCAGGTTGGAAAAGATCTCCAAGATCATCAACCAACCCTACTGTGGTTACTAGCCCATGGCACTAAGTGCCACATCCAATCTCAGCCTGAAAACCTCCAGGGATGGGATGGTGACCACCTCCCTGGGCAGCACATTCCAACGCCTGATCACTCTCTCTGGAAAAAATCTCTTCCTAATATCCAACCTAACCCTTCCCTGGCAGAGCTTGAGTCTGTGCCCTCTTGTCCTGCTGCTGGTTGCCTGGGAGAAGAGACCAACCCCCACCTGACTCCAACCTCCTGTCAGGGAGTTGCAGAGGGTGATAAGGTCTCCCCTGAGCCTCCTCTTCTCCAGGCTGAACACCCCCAGCTCCCTCAGCGAAAAAATCTCTTCCTAATATCCAACCTAACCCTTCCCTGGCAGAGCTTGAGTCTGTGCCCTCTTGTCCTGCTGCTGGTTGCCTGGGAGAAGAGACCAACCCCCACCTGACTCCAACCTCCTGTCAGGGAGTTGCAGAGGGTGATAAGGTCTCCCCTGAGCCTCCTCTTCTCCAGGCTGAACACCCCCAGCTCCCTCAGCCTCTCCTCATGGCACTTGTGCTCCAGTCCCTTCACCAGCCTCGTTGCTCTTCTCTGGACCTGCTCCAGCCCCTCAATGTCCCTCCTGAGCTGAGGGGCCCAGAACTGAGCACAGGATTCAAGGTGTGGCCTCACCAACACCGAGTCCAGGGGAAGAAAAGATAACCATGAGATTGCTGTACTTATCCACAGGATGGAACAAATCCCAAATCCCTAATCCAGACCTCTTCTGAATAGAGGGGGTTATCCAGCTGAAACGTTTTGTGGATCAGCTCTTAACCAAACACCACAAATTACCACACGTCAGACCCAAACACAACCCCACAGAATAGATCAATGCCTACAAGCTGAGTGGGACAGAGACTCTCACCAATGTTCCACTACCAATGCCAAAGTTGTGCACCTCACACCACACCAAATCACCAAGCACTCCCCAGGCCCTCACCACAAATGCAAAACTTTGCTCCCACTGTCCACCCTGATGCTGCCTAAGTCTATGCTAGTGTGGACACTGCTCCCTCTCCATGTCCCCCTGAGCCTGGGGCCCAGCTCCACCCTCTCCCTCATGCTGGAGCTCAGCTGGGGAAAGGCAGGCTCCTGCTGTCCACCCTTGGACCATGAAAGCCCCCTGAGCTTGCCAGAATGCCAAAGAGACACGCCACCATCCTTGATGTCCAATCCACTACTCCTCAAATACATTCCTGCCCTCACCCCCTGGAATCACCCAGAGATCACAGGTGCCTCACCGTGGCCAATGCCACCCATCCTGCTACTCCCAGTACAATGTGATCACTGCTGGCAGTCCTGACACAGTAGACAACACAGGAAAAACCACACCATGCACGTGGAGCATGTGCTCACCTGGTCCAGGCCTCCTCCTCAGCCCCGTGCTCCAGCAACGCCATGGCTCAGCCAACTGCTGGACAACTCTGTCATGTACCCTGTGTCAGGCCAATATGGATTCATCTTCTGAGTCTTCCTCTTGGCAGGACCTCATTGGTCAGGATTTGTGTCATTTGGCACCTTGATGGACCAGGAACATCTAATACAGCCATCACTGGCCATCCACCAGACTCCTCCTCCTCCTCTTCAAGAGCTGGACTCGATGATGCTCATGGGTTCCTTCCAACTCAGTATTCTGTGATTCATCCTCCTCCTCTTCAACCTCCTCCTCAGCTCACCCCGCTGCAAAACACCAGGCACCTACCATAGAGGATGATGCTGGCGTTGGTGTTGCCCAGCTTGTTCGTGGCCACGCACGTGTAGTTGCCGTAGTCCTTCTCCGAGACGTTGAAGAAGGTCAGCGTTGACAGGCGTCCCTTGTTCTCGATCCGCACACCCTCCAGCCCGTTTGCTAACCTGCAGGGAAACACAGGTGACAGTGCTCACAGCACTGTCCCAGAGCTCTGCAACGTGTCTACTCCCTCCCTGGACATCCCTTCGCTTCCCACCAGCCAACACCACTATACACCCATGTTCCCCCACCAGACAAACTCTTCATCCCATTTTCCATCCTGTAACCATCTCCCTGTCTGCCCTATTAGGGCACAGACTCAAGCTCTGCCAGGGGAGGTTTAGGTTGGATATTAGAAAGAGATTTTTTTTTACAGAGAGAGTGCTCAGGCATTGGAATGGGCTGCCCAGGGAGGTGGTGGATTCCCCATCCCTGGAGGTTTTCAAGCTGAGACTGGATGTGGCACTTAGTGCCATGGTCTAGTAACCACAGTAGGGTGGGACTCGATCTTTGAGGTCTCTTCCAACCAGGCTGATGCTATGATTCTGTGTGTCTCACAGCCACCACCCCTTGAGAAACAACCCTGGGACTCCCTCAGCCCTTAGCTGAGCATTCAGAGCCACCAAAATGAATTGATCCCAACCTTTTTCTACATGATGTCCTCAGGCATCATCACTCCCTTCTACCTCCTCACCTTATCACTGGTCTCATCACTCTGGCCCCAGTGCTGGTGTGGTTACCCCCCCCCCAATCCTCCACAGCTCCTCACCTGGTGTCCTCCTTGAACCACTGAAACTCTGCCACGGGGACAGCCGAGGCCTCGCACTGCAGGATTCCCTTCTGGCCCACCGAGGCACCCGTGTTCTTGGCGTTTGAGATGTATGGTGGGTCTGCAGAGACAGTGCAGTGTCACCCTGGGCTATGAGCACCCAGCCCACCACCATTCCCCCAGCCCCTGCACTCACAGTTGACGGTGACTTTGACTTTCCGCACGTCTGGAACAGCCACATCGTTGACGGCGCTGCACTCGTATTCCCCAGACTGCTCCCGTGTGATGCCTGTGATCTCCAGGTACTCATCCTCACTCATAAATTCCTGTCCTGGGAAAAGTACCAAACACTTGGCACCATCACCCATGGACACTGACACTGGGAACTACCCTGCATCCCTGCCCTGCCCTCCCCTGATGGCCTGGGCATCCCCTTCACCCAGGAATCTTGGGGACATCCCTTGACACACACCCTCATACCTATTCCAGGTCAGCACCTCCACAAGAGACACCAGCAGAGTGTGAACCACCCTCGTGCCACCACTCTATGGGGATGTCCATCCACCCCACATGGGCCAGGAGGGACTCCTCCTTGGACCCAGGCAGCTCATCCCCTGAGTCTCACCTTTCACCGAGAGGTGCCGCCACGTGACGGTGGGCTCGGGTCTCCCGAAGGCCAAGCACATGAGGGTCACACTGCTGCCCTCGTTCACGGTGATGTCCGAAGAGATGTTGACAATCTGGGGGGGCACTGCAAGACACGAAGAAGAGTAAAGTTACCATCAACACACCAACTCATCAGGCCCCACTAGGGTCCCATCGTGGGAGATTAGTGTCTACTCCATCATCCTGCCTGGTGGTATCTCCAAACTGGTCTCTTGGATCAGAGCTCAGCATGGATCCAGGGTGTGGAGGTGTCTGTTCCAGCCCCTTCTCTCCATGGCCAAGACCCTGATAACCAGCTCTCGTTACGGCCCACGACAGGGCTCATATTTTAGCATATTTATTAAAGCTGTTTAAATTACTGAGCGTCTGCTCCATTCAATACCGACCACGGTGATTTATATTACTCTATCCCCAGATACTCCATCTAATAAATAACTTGGCAATCTCTGCACCCATAAATATCCCTGGCCATGGCAAAAAGCAATTAAAGCTCGCTCACCGATGCTGCTTCCTGGTGCTCCAGGCTGTTGGACACAGCCCCTGAGAGGGTCTGTGCCCCAGGGAGTGAATGAGGCCATACAAAACAACCTGCCCCAAACTAAACACCACTCCAACAACCCCAGCAGGGATGGCCTGTGCCCCTTCCCTGAGCACATGACATGCCAAGAGCCCCAGGTCATTTGGCACTGCATGCCCAGGGCTCTCCCACAGCACTGGGATTCCAAGATGATCCTCTGAAAACTATCATAGCTGACACCAGCACTGCCTGGAAGGGGATGCAAGGACTGCCCAGCTCTCCTCACATCCCTGGGTAGGTTCTCACACCCTCAAGGAGGTTCTCCCCACACCCTCGGGGAGGTTCTCCTTTCTCCTGGTGCAGGAGAGACAGCGCAGCAGGACGAGCCATGGCAAAGATGCGGCGCAGTCTCTGCAGCCCGATGGGTTCTGCAAAGCAGTAAATTTCCCAGCAACTTGACACATTAATATAGAAGTACAGTCTGTTATAGCAGAGGGAGATTGTCTGAGTCCTTCAGGGGAAAGCAGCAATCCAAAAATGAAAAGTGTTTGCCGGCAACTGCTGGAAAATGTAGTTAACGCTCGGAGTGGAGCCGGCCAACTCCGACAGCACAGCCACAGAGAGAGCCAGGAAGGCTGAAAATGGCCCTTCCTCCCTCAGACAAAATATTAACCAGCATCCTTGCACCTCTCCCCTCCAATAACAGCACCTCAAACTGGTACCAGGAACATCTAAAAACCACAAGAACATCCATGACAAACCTTCTCACACCTGGACACTTGTCACCTGCTCACAAGCCTGCAAACCTGAGGTTTTGCAAGGTTTTTTTGTTTTTTGGTCTCAGATGACAGCAGCACAGTTAGTGGATGCTGAGACCCTCAGATAGCACCACTGCTCCAGATGGCAGCCAGTCTTTCCCTTGTGTGCTCTCACCAGGGGCAAGGGCAATGAAAGGGGCTCTGAGCAGAGCTGGGGCTGTGCTGTCAACTCTGCTCCCACCTCTGCCCCAACCAGACTGGAGCTCTGGCTGCCAGGGGCTTCCTGTCCCTCAGGACAATCATCATCTGACTGTTCTTCACCAACACACTCCTAGGACAAGGCCACACTCTCCCAACCCAAAAAAGGAGACATGCACACAGGGAGTAAGCCAGAGCATCCTCACCCTCCTGGCCCTCTTCCAGCATCCCTTTCCAATCCCTGGAGTCCCAAACAAAATGCCATGCAGAAACTGGTGCTCTGGACACAGATGTGAGCTTGTCCTCCTCCCAGGCACTTCTGTGCAAACAATACCCACACCAATAACCACTACAGTCCCAGTGCTCCCATTCAGAAAACCCCAAGCCACACAAATACACATCAGCCTGAAAGCCCTTCCCTCAGCAAAGGCTGCTGACACAGACATGCCAGAGCCTCACAGTGGGAAATAGTATTTCCCAAACTCCCTGAGGCCAGGGAAGCACCACTGCCTGCCCTAATCCAA